CAAAGACAGACACATGCTGGCAGCCATCATCAAGGCCTGCTGGGCTTTTTAAGGTACAACTGGGGGGGGGGACGGACGTGATCCAATCTCCTACCCCCCTCCCACTTCCCATCAATCAGAATCCACCAGCCTCCAGCACGGCTAAGGAATACAACTCTGGGATACCCCATCGGAGCCCCCGCCCCACCCCCGACACACACACGGAGGGGAACACAGAGTCCTGTGCCACCACTCCCATCACACCAGCTGTGCTGCTGCACCGCAAATACAGTGGGAGGGAGAGCTTCCAACATCACAGCTTTGCCCAGACCAAGGGTGGGCCAGAACACAGGGAAGGAGACTTCCTATCCAGCCTGTCCTTCAGAGCCAAGTGGCCCCAAGCCTGGGTCTCGTGTGACATGAGTCTCAAGAAACTGGGGGTGCCCAGTGGATACAATTCCCTTCATGGATACACGTATATGTATATATTTCTATACTGTATGTACATGTGTACAGGAAGAGGTAAAGGTTTATTCCATGCTGAATGAAAAAGAAAAGAAACACAATGTTTCAGCTGTGGATTCTTCTGCAGGTGACAAGAGTCCACACCCAAAATGTTGTGTCTCTTTTCATTTCCTTTCAACATGGAATACACTTTCTGTCACTAAGCGTTCTTTCCAGATCCTATGCAGATGATACGATCCGGGGTTGAGTGAGGAAACACTGGGAAAAAAAGCATGCAGGATACGGGAATAAAAACAGGGGGGCGTGTCCAAGGAGTGCTGGTGGTCGGGGGAGGTGTAAGCGAAGGAAACAATCCAGGCACGAGTCCAAAGAGAAATCCAAAAACAGGGCACAAGTCCAAGGCCAGGCGATCCATCCAAGACAGAAGATTAAAAACCAGAGCCGGGTCGGGACCGGCAGGGGGAAAGGGAACAGAAACAGAAACTAAAACCATAATGCATCCAGGTCCCGGGCTCGCATGATGCCAGAACCAATGCAGGGCCCTGATTAGCTTCAGCGTCTGGCTTTTAAGGGGGAACTGAAAAGGGCCTGGAACAAGGAACAGGTGCGGGGAATGAGGCAAACAGGGAAGGGCTTGCGATCGTGACACTTTCACCTGTTCCTTTGCAGTCTGTGTATGCTAACGCAGCTACCTTACCTCTACAAACCTACAAACTACAAACCTCTTTGTATATATATGTATATATGTGTATGTATAAATGTATATAGGCATAATGTATATGTAGTTCAGGTGGGTAGCTGCGTCAGCATGCGTAGGCTGCAAAGAAACAAGTAATAGGTTTATTCCATAATGTATATTTATAATGTATATGTATATGTGCATGTACTGTATGTAAAAATGTATACAGTATATGTATATAGATGTACATGAATTCTTTGTTCTCAGGCACAGTCTTGGTGAAAAGAGTAATAATTCAGGCACACTGGTTAAAAAATTATTTATTTACAAAGACAATACACATAGTAAACTACACACAACATAACCATACAATATGTTACACTATGTAAAAACTTTTAAATAAGGTGTCCCAGAGGCCTTACATCCTAACCACCCAGAAAAACCTCAGACTGCTACAAATTTCACTCAAAATAACGCCTACAAAGGCCAAAAGAAGAGATAAGCTACCTTCTAAACTAAACAGAATACAACTTGCGGTTAAATCTCTCTCTCTGCAAACCTGGATGCCACAAAGTGAATTAGAGCCTATTCTATTCTAAAAATGCACCCAGGAGAGGCTGTTTTAACTGTGAGGTTCTTTACACAGGTAATCCAAGTTTCTAACAGCAGCAGAATAGCAAGCTCACTTAATAAGGCTGAAATACTTCGCTCCAATCTGGTGTTTCTGAATGCTCTAAATAAAGAGCTCTTGCCTTCGATATCTTCATTTTCCTCTCCCTTTACCCTCTCTCCTCCCTCTCTCTTTCACTGGCTCCCTGTTTTATCCCCTGTTCCTGGACTGTTAGTTTACACTTAATAATTTACCCAGAACTTAATTGACTAATTAAGCAAACTTTGAGTAAACTAAGGTCAATTTTATGATCACTCTGATCACTGACGCTCCCTCCGCAAACTTTGAAGCTGGAAATGTTGACACTAGCCAGGTGTCCCGATTATTTCTACATTCACTTCATAACAATATGTATATATGCATATATTCAAGATGTTCATATATTGCACATATTGCATGAAGATGCATGAATTGAAGATGTAGCTAACTGCATCAGTTTTTCGTATGCAGCATATGTTAATATAAGGGAAGAAAGAAAACACAACATTTCGGCCGTGGAGCCTTCTTCAGGTGGACAAGGTGTAGATATGCAACCGAGATCACTGCATTGTAAGGATCCCATGTCTGGCGGAGACCAGGAGGAAATGCGCTGTTGCACTGTGTGTGTGCTGTGTATCTATTGTGTGAAGGTGACATGTGACATGTGCCTGTGTGAGAGGGAGAGAGAGAATGCGTGTATTTACATCTCAATGAGAGCTTGATAGCGGGGTCACTGACCTCGGCATCAAGTACTATTCTCGTTGCCTTCGCCCTCAACAACTGCCCGTATCCCCACCATAGCGAAGGGCTAGGAGTCACGACGTGCGCAAGTGATAAGGAACAGCGGTTGATGAAGACGGCAGAATAATGACTGCACAGCTCAGAGCATCGGCAATTTATTTAGATGTTGTTCTTGTGTCTTTCTAACGTTTATTACTCTGATCGTCATGACGACAACGCGCGTCATTATTTTTGGCTGACGTCATTTGACGCTTTCGCTTCATTGTTGTTTTCACCTGCTACGACTGCAGGCTGCTACTACTGCTACGGCGACTTAACTACCGGCACGCAGAATCTAATTTTTAGCCCTCCAATATTCAGAAATCTGTATTGAATTACAAGGTCTGAGCACTGCCACAGGTAACATTTTGGTTTGGATAATTCGCTTGTCTCGCGTTTTATTCGACCGTAAAAACACCCCCTTTCCGGTACTGTGGCTCTGCTCCTGAACATAGCAGAAGTCAGATCTGAGATTCCAGCGCACACGATCGTGGCCACAGCCCAACCGCTCCTCTCTCCCCGTACCTGCGAAGCGCGCACCCGCCTTGCCGCCGCGGGCACGCCTGACAGGGTCTGGGCGCGTTCTCGCAAGAGCACCCGCCCCCACTCCCCACTCCCCAACCTCCCCCTCCTTCGGGAAAATCGGCTAATTCGGATTTAAGTTATTTAAGGTCCCCTTATTAAGCCCTTAGCGCCCTACCCATTGTTCCCTGGATGGCGTGTCATTAAGGCCGGACGAGGGAAAAGAGATCTCCGCGCTTCGCTGGAGTGTGTCCGCGCCAGTGACAATTGGGGCAGAGCTCCCACGCCGCTTCAGGAGAGGATAGTATTGTTGTGGAGATTTTTTTCTTAAGGAATAAGGCGTGTGTATGTGTCGGGGGGGATGGGGAATGTGACAATAGAGAGACAATAGCTCGTTACTGGAATTATTTAAGCTCCTACACACTTGTCTGCATCCCATTAGTGTCGTTTACTTTCAGAGTTCTAGGGATATAATGTCACGATGAAATGACCCCCGAGAGGAGGTACACGGCACACCTACGACTGAAGTAAAGTTTCCACGCCGAAGTCCGAGCACGGTCACCGAGGACAGGCTGGTGTGGGCGTCTCTCGGATGAGGATCTGACTGCTCGGCCCTGTTCGCAAGAGAAAGTGTTAACTCTGCTGAAATCACTTCTCACTTGACCGCTTGTTCGGCTGTGTATTGGAGCCGCCGGGGGGCACAATGGCTGCCACGCGTGTCCGCCTGGTGGTGGGAAGAAGGGAGTCCCCTCTTCCACGCCAAGCGCCACTTTGGGCTGAAACGCGCTATATGAACAGAGCTTTACAGCGAAAGTTCGGGAAGGGGCGTCAACGGCCGCGGTCCAGCAGCCTCAACCGACAGCAATTCAAATACTGCGCGTGACCCCCTTCTCTCCCTCGCGCGTCTCTCCTCCACCCCGTGTCCACCTCTGCGGTCACTCCTCAGTTCCAGGCTCCGCGTCCTGGGGGCAGGAGGGTAGCCCTCAGCCAGGCGGGTTAAGCCAAATCAATCGGAACCGTAAAGACCCGATACATGCCTTTTTAAAACGCCCAATTCTCGGCTGTTGTCATTCCTAGTGAACGTGTGCTTATCGACTGGACGCATTCCGTGGTTTTTGTTTTTGTTTTTTTCTTTCCTTTCGTCCTCAAATCCAATCGCTTTTCGCGGCCGTCTGGCACTTTCGAACAAGTCTCGATCTTTCTCGGAACTTGTATCAGTGGCGCCAAAGCCTCTATAACGGTTCTGCCTCTTCCTTCCACCCAGGTCTGGGGCTGAGTGGTGTGAGTGATATATGAGTGATGATAATTGGAGATACCACATTCATCTAGATATTCACTGACACGCACGGAGAGACACAAATTTACCACATGAAAGTCTGCACAGTCGGCATGGAGACAAGACAACAACTTTAGGAACTTTTAGGTTTGAAAAAAAAAAGTCACCCAGCTTTGGAAAAAAAAGGTATTTTAAGATGTTAGGTGGAAAGATTGAACATCCTCTTTAAGAAGATACCATCTTTATCGGGTCATTTTCTCCGTTTTAATACAGCCCCCCTCCCCACAGGATGATCAACTGCCAGCCTCACAGACGCACCGCTCTCCTTCTCAGCTCTGAAACAACTACCGGATTTTTTTTATTATTATTAATAGGACAGACAATTTCCATCTGCCATCTAATAGCTACTATTAGAGCTTCAAAGCTACTGTTATGAAGAAAGTATGAGAAACCATGCCGGCAGGTGATATGAACCGCATCGCCCGCAGCCTCGGCCCTGCGCCTCAAGAGGCGGGCACGAACAAAGCTGGAGCTAAACAGGGGTGAAGGCTGGACTGGGAGGACGGGCTACACGGTATCGCGGTCGAGGCGGATGGGGCCCTTCACGCGCCCCGGCTTTCTCGGCTGGGGAGAGCGCCTCCACCCACGCGCGCTCAGAGGAGCTGGAAACGAGGAACACGCGCGCCCCCGATCCCACACTCCGCTCCTCTCTCTGCGCCTATCCTTTCTTCTTGTGTCTCCCGTCCTCCCAGCCCATCGGACCTCGGCTGCGTCTCCTGTCTCCTCTTCCTCTCCCTTTTTTTCCTTCGCCGCTCCTGCTCTCTTCCTCTATCCTGTTCTCCCCACTCTGCCTCCTCTCTCTCCTCTCACTCCCCTCTTCCAGCGGCCGGGTAGAGACTGTGGGAAAGTGCGTGGAAGCCCGGACCCACACATTGTCATGCAAATTCAGGACCCCGAAGAAGGGCAGTGTGGGGGTGGGGGGCTGTTATATGTAGCCAGTGTGTGAGTCGCATTCAACACTGCGAAAAGCGCACCAAACGCGCAACTCTCGGGCTCCCCGGCAGCGCTTGTGCGAGGGCACTGCGGTCACTCGGGACGAGAGGGAAACTCGTTATTGCTCACCCGTACATTTTCCACAGTCGTGCACGCGTGGGAAGCCACACGTAAATACGCAAGCAACATGACCGCTTCCAATGTGGAGACGTCTTCCGACAGGAATTACAGCGCCAAAGAAGAAAGAAAGGTAAGAAAGAAAGACCTTTTAATTTCATCCGCTTTGGTATCGGCCAAAATCCAAGGGAAACTGGACTTCGACTGCAGGGGCCTGTTTTTTGGGGGGGGAACAGCCACTTAAGCAAAGCATGCACACCTGTTGTTTCCACACGAAAGATACCGTCTTTCAAGCGAATCCTGCCGGTTTCCTCAAATATGTAATCGGAACGAGAGAAAGACATTAAAGCGCCCCATCGTGCAGGGAGATATCACCTTTTTTTCCCGTTCATAAACACCAGTCTGTTCATAAAAATCACTTCGGGTTCTAAGAAAAAAAGCCTCGACTCTTTCACTCGCCGCCTCTCACACGCGTGTTTTTCATAGTTTTGGACTTGAGTCAGCAGAATGATTCCGTCTGGCAGGGCATTAGTCAGCACGGCACCATGAAACGGGACGCCGTTTGCTTACGGGTGTGAAACTCCAGTTCCTGGAATAACGAAAAGGCTGCGGTTTGAGCGCTTCTCTTCACAGATAACCAGCGAGGCGCCTCCTGAAATGAACCTTCGCTCGGCGGGCGTTTCTTGAGGCGGTCTCAATATTGTCGGAGAACAGAGACCACGCAGTCAGAGGAGGAAGCTGGCGTGGTACAGGGAGTTGTTCTCCTTGTGCAACTGGGCAGTTAGGCGCCTTTTCCCGAATACTTGTGATTAGTGACTAGTGATAGAATTACGCCTTCCTCACTCCTAACCCCGAGAACAGCAGAAACCGCTGAATTAAACTGAGCTAAAACCCAAGTAATCTAGTTATCTGATAACTGAATTAGGGTAAACATTCGACAACGCGACGATGTTTTTTAGTGATTAAGAGACAGTGTTGAGCAAGGCATTATTGAGTTAGACAAAAGTCGCCATTGGGCTGTGCGGTTATTCCAACAGTGCATGGTGAAATTGCACACGGAAACGTGCTATCTCGTAATTACCAGGCAATTATCTTGTTGTTGCAAAATACTACATGTCGTAATGACGAGATAGCAGATTATCCAGTAATCAGGAGATGGTACATTCTCGCGTACTTTACGTGCTAATCGCGCGGGAGCACAATTATCAGGAGTTGACTTGCAGGTTAAAGCGGTGGAAACGACTGCAGGGCACACTCGTTCGTGTTTAAGGAGAAGTGTGAGTGTCCTCGTGGTTACACTCGTGTTCACACGAGGAAGAAAATCTAACACTTTGTCATGACCAACCCCCAGCGGAAGGCAGTGCTGGACACTGCCACCAACACTAAACTCACAGTTCTAGCTGAGCTCTGGGTAGCTGCTAAATGCCCTCAGTGCACAATGCAACAGGTTGTTCATACAGTCAAGTGATCACTGCTCTCTCCTAATTACAACACAATTACAGTACTATCTCATAATAAGATCAGTTCATTTTATTGGCCATATACAATTTCTTGTATTAGGAAGTTGTCTTTTCGCACTTGATCTCCATGAGACACACAGACAGGGAGAGAAGCTGGGGGTCAGAGCGCAGGGTCAGCCATTTATACGGCACTCCTGGAGCAGCTGGGGTTAAGGGCCTTGATCAGGGGCCCAACGGAGTAGGATTCCTCTGCCAGCCACAAGATACGAGCCAGTAACCTTCCAGCCACAGATTCTTGGCCACAGAGCCACCACACTGCTCCTAATTTTCTGGTAATTAGGAGACAAAACATAATTCTTTTTCCTTGATGGCAGCCATGCTCACCGGTAGTTGTACTATCCATCAGATGGACTGTCCACTGTCCAGATTGTGTTGCTTTCAGCACAGTTTTGTCTTCAGTTGATGTCCATGTAAGATTCTGGAAACAATACTTGGAACTAAATCAGCAGATAATCTCTAGTGATAAATTTCGATAGTAACAACAACAGTGATCTTTCAACAAGCAAGACCTTTTTAGTTCTTACAATGTTGTGATTTTTTTTTTACTTTATACACAGCTGAGGAAGCCTCTGATTGAGAAAAGACGCCGGGAAAGAATCAACAGCAGTTTGGAGCAGCTCAAGGGCATTATGGTGGATGCCTATAACCTGGATGTGAGTCAGGACACTGGACACTGTAATACAATTGCCAACACTGTGGACACTGTACTGTACAATGACCAGCAATACAATCAAGTTCACTGTGCACACTGTGTACAATGACCAGCACTGTGCACACTGTGCAATACAATCAATAGCACTGTGCACACTGTACTGTGCAATCACCAGCATGGTGCACGCTGTACTGTACAATTGCCAGCACT